AACTCTGCATAGGATTTCCAAGGAGCAGCTGATATGTTTAAACTGCCAACCTTGTTAACAGTACAGTGCTTATCTTATAGCTTCGCACCAGGACTCCAGGCATTTAACAAAAACATATGCAATAATAAGTGGAGTGGACAATGGCCTTTATCACATTATTATGAGCTCATTACAAAGCAGAGAAAGAGTGATTATTTAGGTGATTACAAATATTGTTTCTTCAATACAGGTTAATTACTATAGAAGTCACCAAGACTAGATAGTTACCTTAATTTAAATTCCATATGACAAGTATCAGTCAGTTTGAGATTTTAAGACTAATAATTTGTGATCACACAAATTATATAAAGAAAAACATTATATCAGGATTTTGAAGGAAGACTCATTAACGACCTGCGATATGCAGATGATACAACCTTGCTTGCTGAAAGTGAAGAGGACTTAAAACATTTACTGATGAAGATCAAAGAGCACATTGGTATGGATTGCATCTCAATGTAAAGAAAAACATCCTCACCGCTGGACCAATAAACAACATTCTTATCAGCAGAGAAAAGATTGAAGTTGTCAAGGACTTCATTCTTCTTGGATCAACTAGCAACGCTCATGGAAGCAGCAGTCAAGAAGTCAAATGACGTATTGCATTAGGCAAATCTGCTTCACAAGACCTTTTTAAAGTGTTGAAGAGCAAAGATGTCAGCTTGAAGACTAAGGTGTGCCTGACCCAAGCCATGGTATTTTCAGTAACCTCATATGCATGCAAAAGCTGGACAGTGAATAAGGAAGACCATAGAAGAATTGATGCTTTTGTGTTATGGTGTTGGAGGAGAATATTGAAAGTGCCGTGGGCTGCCAAAAGAACCAACAGAACTATGTTGGAAGAAATGCAGCCAGAGTGCTCCTGGAGGCCAGGCTAGCCAAACTTCATCTCTCATATTTCAGACATATTGTCAGGAGGGACCAGTCACTGGAGAGGGGTATCATGTTTGGTAGAGTAGAAGGTCAGAGAAAAACAGGAAGACCCCCAGCGAGATGGATTGTCAAAGTGACAGCATCAGTGTGCTCAAGAGTGACAATGATAATGAGGTTGGCCCAGGATCAGGCAGTGTTTCATTCTGCTGTGCACTGTGAGTCGGTACCAACTCGATGGCACCTAACAAAAACAACATATACATATTATATATGTTTGTATATGTATTATATATGTATATGTATTATATATGTATATGTATATTGTATATGTATTATATATATATATCTTTAGTATCACATGCAAGTAAAGTTTTACTCAAGGTAACTCAAAAACGGCTGCAATAGTACATTGCCAGAGGTTCAAGTTGGATTCAAACAAGGATGGTTAAAGAGGTATCACTGCTGATGTCAGATGGATCTTGGCTGAAAGCAGAGAATACCTGAAAAATGTTTTTTGGTTGTTGTTGTTAAGTGCCATTGAGTCGGTTCTGACTCCTAGCAACCAAGTATAGGTTTTCTGAGGAGCAACTGGTGAGTTTGAACCACCTGCTTTGCAGTTCAAACCGGCCATGTGGTTCTGTGCTTTTCCTACAGCATCACATCAGTTTACTTGTGCCTTATTGACTGTGCAAAGGTTTTCGACTGTGTGGATCATGACAAGCTATGAATAATATTGTGAAGAGTTGTTATCCCAGAAAACTTTATTGTGCTCATGAGGAACCTGTACAAGAACCAACAGGCAGTGTTTGAACAGAACAAGGTGACACTGAATGACATAATAAAGAAATGTGTGTGCCAAAGGTATGTGGTTCTTTTACCATACATATTCAATCTGTATGCTTTGCAAATAAACTGAAAAGTTGGATTATATGAAGGAGAGTGTGGCATCCGAATTTGAGGAAGACTCATTAACAGCCTGTGATATGCAGATAATACAAACTTACTTGCTGAAAGTGAAGAGGACTTAAAATATTTACTGATGAAGTTTGAAGACCATAGCCTTTGGTATAGGTTTCACCTCAATGTAAAGAAAACAAAAATCCTCACTACTGTACCAATAAATGACATCACGATAAATGGAATAAGAAGAAGTTAGCAAAGACTTCATTTTGCTTGGATCCACTATCAACACTCATGATCACAGAAGTCAAGAAATCAAATGGTATATTGCACTAGGCAGATCTGTTTCACAAGACCTCTTGAAAATGTTCAAGAGGAAAGATGTCAGTTTGAGGCCTGACCAAGCCATAATGTTTTCAATATCCTCATATTCATGTGGAACTTGGATAGTAAATAAGGAAAACCATAGAAGAATTTGTTACGCTGTTGAAGACAAATATTTAAAGTACCATGAACTGCTAGAACAAACAAATCTGTGTTGGAAGAAGTACAGTCAGAATGCCCATTAGCGATTTCATCTCTCCTGCTATGGATGTACTATCAGCAGGGACCAGTCCCTGGAGAGGGACATCATGCTTGGTAAAGTGAAGGATCAGCGTAAAAGAGAAAGTCTCCCAATTAGATGGATTGGCACACTTGCAGCAGCAGTGAGCTCAAACATAACAACTATTGTGAGGATGGCACCGGACCAAGCATCATTTCCTTCTATTGTGTATAGTGTCATTATGAATCAAAACCAACTCGACAGCAACTGACAACAGCAATAGCAGTAATAGTAGTAGCAGTATCATCTATGTTGTGGTGATTTGTTGTCAAGTTGTTACAATTCAGAGTAACCCTGTAGGACAGACAGAGTAGAACCTACCCCCAAAGCTTTCCTATGCTATAAATCATAATGTGGGCTGACCACAAGCTCTTCTATCCAGTGGATCACATAGTGGGATTGAACCTTTAAACTTAGGCTAATAACTAAGAGCATAACCATTGTGTAGCCACTGAATAGCTTTCAGTCTTAAACTACAGGTATTTCAGGATGATCAAGTAGGAAGGATTTGAGCTTATTTTGTGTGTTAGAAAAGCATAAGTATGTTTTTTAACAGTAGTAACTGACAGATTAAAAATATTTATGAGCAATCTTGTGCATAATTATAAGATTTTAAAGTATTAATTTGCCTATTTATTCATTGGTTTTGGATATAAAATTCATTTCTCTGGCATTTTTTGTCTTAAACTCCCTTACTGTGTGGTCCTCAACATTCCCTACCACATTTCCTCATTAGCAAAGTAAATGTGAACTTAAATAATTAAAGCTTCTTAAAAGAAACAAAGCTCTACTCTAATGAGGGAGAAAAAACAAAAATGACGCATAACAACATTTCTAAGCCAGAATCACATTCTTATAATTTATCAATGGTATATACCATAATTTCAAATGGTATATCTGATTTTCCTTGTTTTTAACATAAAAGTAAGAACAGAGGTACAAATTTCACAATTTTTAAGTGCTAACCGTTAGATTAAGGGAAATCCAAATGGTCTCGTTTTGTGTTGTTGGGCACTCTTGATTCCAGCTCTGTGAAGTTATAATCCATGCAGTATAAATTATTAAATGAATGCAGCCTGTATTTATATTGGGCATATTAGCAACCATAGCACATACTTCACTGCATATGGATTTCCATTAAGGAAAGAGAGTGCATAGATCACCAGAAGTCCATTCTCGTTAAATTGTCATTTTTTATCACTAAAAGTTCTTAATGTTACTATATTTGATAGTGAAAAAACTTCCATTTAGATAAGAGACCAATAAATGGAAAAGAAAGAATAACTGAATTAATGTTGATTTTTTTCAAAGAACTGTATAAAGATTTTTAAAACAAGAGTACAGCAACCAAATATTATATTTCATAACCAACTTTTGTTCATCATACTTCTCTGATAAATATTTGGGACAGCTGAAGGTGATTTTAAAAAATCAATATGCAGTTTGCAAAAAGCAAACTTCTACCATTTTGAAATCAAACACATTAAACTATTCTGCCTACTTTTGTATGTTGTTGTTAAATGCTGTCGAGTCGGTTCTGACCCAAAGCGACCCTGTATAGGGTTTCCAAGGAGCAGCTGGTGAGCTTGAACCACCTACCTTCCAGTTTAAATGAATTTGCAGTCTGACGCATTAGCTCACAGCACCACACCAGGACTATAAATACCTACAAGGTTGTCTTTGAACTCTGGTAATACAAGAAATATCACTAATGATTGTTATTGCTAGGTGCCATCGAGTTGGTACCAACCCATAGCGACCTTATGCACAGCAGAACAAAACACTGCCAGATCCTGGGCCAGCCTCACTACTTTTGCCACGCTTGAGTCCATCGATGCTGCCAGTTGGCTAATCTATCTCGTTGGGGGTCTTCCTCTTTTTCTGTGACCCTCCACCTTACCAAACATGATATCCTTCTTCAGCGACTGATCTCTCCTGACAATATGTCCCGAATATAGAGACAGAGTTTGGCCATGTTGGCCTCCAAGGAGCACTCTGGCTGCACTTCTTCCAAAATGGATCTATTGGTTCTTTTGGCAACCCATAGCACTTTCAATATTCTCCTCCAACACCATAACTCAAAAGCATCAGTTCTGAAGTCATTTAGGAAAGGGTCGTTAGAAAAATGCCTAGGGTTCGTCCTTCTGTTCAGCAACCACTCAGCCCACTGGACCTGTAGTTCTTTCTCAATGACAGATCATGTTTTTAATGGTTATTATAGGATCAGCTCTGGGCTACTAATCACAAGGTTATTATAGGATCAGCTCTGGGCTACTAATCACAGTTCAAACCCACCACCTGCTCCTGGGAAACCCTATACACAGTCTCTATGAGTCTGAACCGACTCCTCGGCAATTAACAATAGCAGTGATCTTTTCTATACTAATAATGGAGTCTTAATGTGGCACTATGGGTTAATGCGCAGGACTGCAAAGTTGGTTTGAATTGCAAGGTCGGCGGTTCAAGCTGCTCCTCAGAAACCTTATACAGGGTCTCTAGAGGTTGGAGCCAACTTGACAACAGTAAGCAACAGCAGCAACACTAACAATGGTTTAATTCTGATTTTGTCCCTTTCTCTTTTCAGTCTGATTCGTACTTCTGCATGTCATTACGTTTGCCCACAGATGAGGAAGCCTTCGTGAGTAAGTATTCATTGGATGGCATTGATGGACGGGGGTTAGTTAAGGGAGGGCAGCTATTTTAAATCAATAAAATGTTCTTTTTGATGGTTATGAGCTTATTAATCTTGTACTCTGAGTTTCTCAAATACATTTATCATACCTAATGCAAAAGCAAACTAGAGAGAGCCACTGAGAGACAAGATTGCAAACTGTTTCTGCAGAGATTCATGCGTAATAATAGTTAAGCAGTTGAATGCAGATATTGATGGCTGCCAATGATTTGTTTGTTGTCCCATTTGTATAATACTGGCTTTCTCTCTGTGGCTGGATGCTTAATTCTGCTCTGCTCAACAGACTGTTTATTTACCTGCTGGTTCATAGTATAAATTAGCTACACTTAGCATCAACATTGGAGAAAGTTAAGATTTTACCTGTCAGACTGGTAGGTGGATAAGAAAGAAGTAGATAGAGACTAAAAAAGAAAGGGAAGAAGGGAGGAGGGACAGAAGGAAGGAAGGTAGACCCTCTTATTCATATTACAGAATTAGAAGAATGACGGGACCTATATCAACTGGAGTGTGGCATTGTGGGATAAGCACCGGCCTGCTAACCACAGGTTGACAGTTCAAACGCACCAGTCACTCCTTGGAAATTCTATCCAGGCTTACTATGAGTCAGAGATTACTCCAAGGCACTTAACAACAACCTCAACTGTGCCTTTAAATCAGATAAGAAAAGTGACACTGCACCATCTGTTTCCATCTAGGTTTTAAATTAAACATCCCTTATGACAAAGTTTTAACTGTTTAGGGAAGAGCTGTGATTGGCAACTTATTCATGGATTTGGTTTTTTCCACTTCACTTTCCTCATTTGAGTTGTTGATTTTGGAGAGAAGGGGATGGTAATGAGACTTGTATTTTAGTCCCTAGAAACTAATCTTCAAGCAGGCTGTCTGAAATGGCTATTATGTGAATTGTAAAATGTGTACTGTAGCCTTGGGGCAATCTGAGGATGAATTTTCATGAGGTGTTCCCCACAGGAATGCACATTATAGGCTTGCAAAGCCAGAACAATGCACATTTATTTTTCCGCCCACTTTGGTGGTAATCACAACAACAAATACAACCTATAACAACACTTCTTTGATAAATTTGTACCCCTGGTTACTTCCAAACAATGAAGAAAGTCAGAGCTTGGAAAGTTGAGTGCTGCTTGATTGTTATTTTGTATAATTTTGGGGAACATTACCAAGAAAAAAAATCAGAAAGGATAGTACTTCCAGATATTGAGTGGAAAATAATTTAAGCTCCTAACTGTAATGGTCTGAGTAACACCAAACATAAAGTAGAATATAAATTCATAATTAAAACATTTTAAATTTTCTTCAATTTCATATCCACATGTTTGGTAACTTATGTAAGTTTGGAAAAATATAATTAGCATTTACTCATAAAAGGGAGGTTTACATGAATTTTTTTCCATACTAATTTTATAATTTATTTGCCCAAATTCATAGGTTTAATTTTCACACTTTACTCTGAATACTTGTATGATTATGGTTGTCTTATTTTACAACAGATAGCAGTGTTATGGGTCTTACCTTAGTATTTATTAGTTTATTTCTGGTGACTGATGATAGTATGTGATTTTAAAGCTAGTGACTTCAAGGACTATAAATGTATAAACATATCCTGAAATGTGTTATTGTTCTCCTAGTATATTTTCTTTTTCATAATTTAAAATTGAAAAGTACAGTGATTTTATTTAGTTAAAAAACAAATCACAGGAAATGTTTAAAGGGCAATATTAGAATGACAGAGCTAAAATGTTTCTTCATTTTCTTAAGAGTCTTAAGAGTAAACTGTTCCAGATACCATAATTGTTATAAAGTGTTGTGCTTCAAGTTATTATTTTTTATGTTTTATTATTACAAGGGGACTTCAAAAAGTTCACAAGAAATTTGTTTTTCTTTCGATTTAATTTTTCTATGAACTTTTTGAAACCCCCTAGGTTTTATTATTGTTTTCCGCCTTTATTTGGAGATATTGTGAAAACTCTAGGATCCTTAAATGTTCTAAGACTTGTAACTACGTTCAGTACTCTTTATTTGATAACTAGGAGGATTGTATGAATATTTAAGTTTATTTTACTTGTTAAAAAGAAGATTTATTTCATCTTTAGTGTGATTCTTTATGTAATATCCACCAATGGTTTTACTTACCATAATATGCATAATCCAACAATCACAGCAATTTAGGTACTGGCACTCTAGTTGTTGTCAGGTGCCATCGAATCGGAACCGACTCATAGCACAGCAGAACGAAACAATGTCTGATCCTGGGCCAACCTCACTACCGCTGCCACACTTGACGCCATCAATGTTGCCACTTGGCTGATGATCCATCTCGTTGGGGGTCTTCCTCTTTTTCTCTGACCCTCCACTTTACCCAGCATGACATCCTTCTCCAGCGACTGTTCTCTCCAGACAATGTGTCCAAAGTAGGAGAGACGGAGCTTAGCCATCTTGGCCTCCAAGGAGCACTCTGGTTGCACTTCTTCCAAAACAGATCTATTAGTTCTTTTGGCAGTCCATGGCACTTTCAGTATTCTCCTCCAGCACCACAACTCAAAGGCATCAATTCTTCTACGATCTTCCTTATTCACTGTCCAGCTTTCACATCCATATGAGGTTATGGTACTCTGGTAGTGTAGTGTTTTTGAGTCGGGCTGCTAATACCACAGTCAGCAGTTCGAAACTAACAGCTGTTCCATGGGAGAAAGATGAAGCTTTCTGCTCCTGTAAATATTTACAGCCTCAGAAATCCTATGCAGGGTTGATATGAGTCGTAATCGACTCCACGGCACATAATAACAACATTAGAATTGGAAAATCAGAGAGAAATACCAGGCAATCATTTATTTAAGGAGATAGGTAAGAAATATTTTAAATGTATCATTTAATTTTTTGAGCAGCCATTTAGGTTGTTCCATTTATAAGTCAAGAAACAGTAACAGGGATATCTGTGTCTATTAAATCAGTTCCCCTAGAACAATAATTTGTATGGGACCATTCTTATGTGATCAGACCACCACCATCATCACCAGCAACCATCATTTACTAAGGGTCTTTCAGGCACTTTAAGACACTGATACTGTTGTTAAGTACCTCCAGTTGCTTCTAACCCATAGCAACCGACTTTGCTGTTCAAACTGTCTTCTCAGTCCAGCGCATTAGGCCATAGCGCCACAACAGGACTCCAAGACACTTATTGTTTGTTGTTGTCCATCAAGTCAGTACCAACTCTAGCAACCCTTATGCACAACGTAATGAAACACTGTCCGATCCTGGGCAACCTCACAATTGTTGCCACGCTTGAGCCCATTGATGCTGCCACTTTGCCAATCCATCTCGATGGAGGTCTTCCTCTTTTTCTCTGTTAGCTAAGCATATTTTAAGGATAGGTGGTCAGAGAAGTTATGAGACATATGCAGACTGTTTACAAGCTATATTTCCACCCAATTTTTTGTTGTTTAAATTATAACAGATATGGATATAGGGGTAGTGATACAAGGGAATAAATGGAAGAAGTTAGCAAATGGATAAAAGAACTGAAATATAGTGAAAACACATCATTGTCTTCCTTACAACAAATAAAAATATTCTTTCATCTCTTACCTTCATTTCCTACTGGGAATGGTCTGGTCATTTCTGCCTAAATGAATAAGTCAACATCAAACCATCTTCCAAAGGAAATCCCAGCACACATGGAGACTTAATGATAGCGAGAAGGGAAAGGTGTTGGATATATAGATTATATAATGGCAGAGTTTATCACACGTAGTTTTTCTGAATTCCAAGAGTCAAAGTGTTGCTTGTTGACTTTCCAAGGCTTTTCCATGCTAAGAAATCTGATGACATACATGTAGAATGAAACTTTTACTTTTTTGAGGCTATTCCCAAATCCTGCATGTCAGGCTGCCTTATCTTAAGTTAGATATGGTTAGAAAACAAGAACTTCTAATGATTCATAATACTTTTTTCATTCTTAAGAAATTTATCATTTTATACCTTTTGCTGTCATTATCTGTGCTTTTTCAGTTTTTGAATGCCAACAGGAACTATCTCACAAAATTTGGTGGGGATGTGATAAATGTTTACTGAATGCATAAATAAACACTTATAAGGTGTCTTGTTCGGCCATTTTCTGAAGAGCATTTCTAATAGTAGGCAGTTTGCCTTATTACTTTATATTCTTGGTCTTGATATATAAGGAATAATATTTTATCATGAAAAAATACATTTTAATTAATTGAGCAAGCTTTTTAAGCATTCTGCTATTTGCCAATTATTAGCCTTGACATTGAGCATATGAATTATGATATGAGTTCAAAGCAATCATAACCTGGAAAAACTCTAGAAACAAAAATGCAAATGCTACATCATATGAAAAGCCTTTCTTTTTTTCTTTTTCAAATTTCTGAAGAAAATCACAAAAGGCAGAGACCAATTTAGATGGTTATTAGGGCTAAGGCAAACTCTCTTGATGGTGTTGAAAGTCAGAATTGCATTTGAATAATTTATAGTTTAGACTTTTTGTTTGTGTGACTATTTATGTAACCCATTTTAGATAAACACAGCTTAATTTTGAAGCAATACTATCACAGTTGTTATGGAATTACCATATGTATATGCCTGTTGAATTTATATATGAGCATACAACATATATGAGGTGTCTATATAACTTTATTGAATTACTTAGTATAAATTAAAGTGGGTGTTTTGGGAAATGCTATAATGAAGGTAAGTACAATTTTTATATTTTGAATGAAACTGTAGCCTTCCCAAGAGCTTTGCTTTTATTTATTGTTTTAATAAGAAATCACACAATTGGAATGGATGAAACTATGATAAAATCTGCATCTGACCACTGAACTGTGGTACTGTCTATAATGTGTTTTACAGACACTCAGAGCAATTGACTCTGACAGGAGCCCACTCAACCAAAAAATTTGACTGTCA